TGGGCCCTTTGTGGAGATATGTGTAAATTGTGTGGGTGTAGATGTAAGGATCTGTGGAAGTACAGACAACACACTCAGCACATATATAAAAATAAAAAGATACCATATGGGGATATTTAGACTGAGTAAGGTTAACGACATGCAACAGATACAACAAGTGGTGACTGTGTGGGTTCCAGGGACCCACTGTGTGTGGGGGGAGGGGAGGGATAAGAATAGACCCATTGCCTATCCAAAAGCATGTCGTAAGAGTGGGCAGGTTAGGAGCTTTTTTCGAAGTTAAAGATTAAGGAAACCAATAGTCTGCATACAAATGAGTCAGATCTGCAAAATATATGTGCACGTAACACCCTGGTCCTGGAGCAAAGCTAGAGTCCAGAAGTGGACGAAAGACGAGAACACTGCGTCGGAGTTCACAGTCAGTGAACGTAAAGAAGAAGAAGAAGAAGAAGAAGAAGAAGAAGAAGAAGAAGAAGAAGAAGAAGAAGAAGAAGAAGAAGAAGAAGAAGAAGAAGAAGAAGAAGAAGAAGAAGAAGAAGAAGAAGAAGAAGAAGAAGAAGAAGAAGAAGAAGAAGAAGAAGAAGAAGAAGAAGAAGAAGAAGAAGAAGAAGAAGAAGAAGAAGAAGAACAACAACAACAACAAGAACAAGAACAAGAAGAAGAACAAGAACAAGAAGAAGAACAAGAAGAACAAGAAGAACAAGAAGAACAAGAAGAACAAGAAGAAATGCAATAAAAGTCATCAAAGAGTGCATTTCAAAGTACTATGTATATCACAGCAGTCATGTAACTGATAGCAAAAACCAAGCCAGAAATTTCTAAACGCTTTTAACGATTACCCTGTTGCCCGGTACATTCACCCTTCTGAAACGTAGAGTAGTTTTCAGACAAGACTGGAGTAAAGTCCGTGTTTAGGAGAATGCGTTTTGTTTAAGCGATGATCGCAGATAGCGGGCCAAAAGGGGGACTGATATTGTCTGCCCGACTAATGGGCTTGTGAAGATAGAGAGGTTCTTGGCAAACAATCCAGCAGGTGCCGGGTAGGGTGTCGTTGGCTTCCTCTGCCAATACATTTTGGATCTTATGGGAGTTAGAGGCTGGGCAAGTGATAGAGATCTCGATGGGCTGAAGGTACGGATCAACAATTCCCTTCTCATTACATATCTACACATGTAATTACGTACGAATACAATTATTCATTTATTTATCCATTTAGTCACGAAGGCTAACAAGCAGGCTAACAGGCAGGCAGACAGACAGACGTTAGTAAATAATTGGGTTCTTGGCGTCAAAGTGGTTAGGAAGTTGGATCTGCGCTCTAAAGATCATGGGTTCGTTTCAAGAAAATGTCTAGTTCACGGGTGAACTTTTTATGGAGATCCAGGGAGCTACAGAGTTCGTGTTCTGTGTGACGCTGTCGGCGGGGGGTTAGCCTTTCTGCGGAAGGAGACCGAGCCATACGGGATAAAACCAGGTGCAATTAAGTCAATATCTCGACATTAGATGAACTTAACTTAGTTGAAAGTAATCTGGATAACACGCGCCTTAGCAGTAATCTTCTTCTTCGCGTTCACCAGCTGTACACTCTGGTGGAAAGTTCTGGTTGCTCGTCCACTACTGAACTAGTAGTACTTTCGTCTTCTCAGTAGTCTCACATATGCACCTACTCGCGCTTATAACTCAGTCCTGCTCCAGAACCTGAGTGTTGCGTGTGCATCAGTTTTACAGATCTTATTCTCTTGAATACAGACTGTTGGTTCCTTGCCTCTCCGGCAGATGCACTCCGACTTCAAAGAAAGCTCCCCAATTAGTCGACTCTTACGACATGCTTTTGGGGAGGCAGTGGGTCTATTCTTGTTTCCCCCACAATGGGACCCCGGAACCCACACGGGGGCTTAGCAGTAATGATAAACAGAGAAAAAGCAATACCATACATAGTGTCGTGAAATGATAGCCATTACGCATCGGTCTGTAAGGCTGATAACCTGTCTTACCTGTAATCTGCACAAAATTCAAACTTGGACTCGCCCAGAAATATATAGTCCCTTATATCTATATATATAGGCCTGTATTGGACAACATTATTATGTCTGCCTTTTCTGGTTACTTTAACTAAACTCCACTTTTAAATGTATTTCTCTTAGAGATATATTAAGGGAGTTATTTGAGGTTTCGTGGAAACCGATTTACTCCTTGCCCAAGTATACAAGGGACTTCTTTTGTACCAACGCCTGAAGTATCTAAGTGACGCTATTCTTGCCAGCTTCTCAAGCGTCCAGATGTGTTATTCTGTGCCTGCATAAATTTCACTTTTCAAGGCAATCTGGAATGTCTCAGTTTTTACATATGCTTGGGTAAGTTAATTATAGTTTACGAGTACCTAGAATGATGTCTGTAAAGTAGTCACTGCTGTAGAGAAATCAGTATCGGCTGTGTGATCCCACTTAGTTCGACCGTTCTTGATCGCTAGAGAAGCGGATTCGAACATAGATCTTCCACTGTACAGACTAAATAGCTTATGTCCTCAATAAACCACCCATACTGATAAAACTTAATACCCTTACAATTGTGTACGTTTTAAACTAACTAAAGAATCTGTACATACGAAATGGGGACAGAATTGGGTCAGGGCTTTGTTAATCAAAGTATGTGTGTGTATGACCCAGATCAATGAGTGCTGGGGCGGTTGGGAAAGCTAGTGAATGCAGGTACTGACAGTAAATATTGGTGTCTGTGTGCAGAGTGAGGGGGAGAGGGTGAGTGATATATGTGTTAGACCACTTTATCTATCTCCACTGTATATCTGACTTGCCTTCTCTTGCACTAAACAGACAGATAAATATAGGAGACTTATGTCTTTTGGTCTGGAGAGGCAATCTGAGGAATGAAACAGGAGAGCAGAGAGGAGTCAGCAGATGGGGATTGATGACTGATGCTTGCTCTGTCTTTCCTGTCAAGATGTTACCCTCTTGGTGATGACTAATGTTGAGTTATTTTCTTGACAGGATGTATCTTTTCTGAAGAGCTGGCAGAAGATTCACAGTCCAACCAACATCCACCAACCATCAAACCACCAGAAACAAACTGTTACCCACCAGCTAACACCTGTGAAGGTTCCTGACACATAGGTATACACAAACGTGGGGCTCAACTGATAATTGTATACCGATAATTATTTAGTGTGTTTGCGTGTGTGCGCGCGCGCGCCCGCACGCACAAATAGATAGTAACTTATAATTTTTACAATGCAAGTCGATTATTAGACTGTTATACAGGCGCCGCCAAACTTTTGTTATTCGTAATTTAACATTATAGATGATTTCTGCAAAATGTTCAATCTTAATATTTAATAAACTAAGGAAATACAGCAATATAGCGTCACAGGTTGAACTACAAACAACAACAAAAAGTTAGGAAAAGACAAATATAATAAAAACACTAATAACAGATTAAGCTGAAGTAACACTGGAGACAAAACTAATTACCAAACAGATCAATTTACTTATTTAGGCAGTAATTTTGATAGTGCAGGAGATATTAAGAAAGCAATTATGACACGCACTGGCAAAGTATCAGCAGGTTGTAACAAAATTAACTCCAAACTGTCTAGTTTTAAAACCAAGTTATGTATTTTCAGTTCTAATGTTATTTCTTTTTTTTTTTTTTTTTTTTTACACATGCATGTGAAAGTTGGAGAATGAAAGTTAAATACATTCGAAATCAAATGTCTGAGTGAAATTATGAAAATAAAAGGGAATGAATTCAAAAGGAGTAAAGAGATAAGAGCAATGTGTGAGCAACCACTAGTATCAACAGTTATAAGACAGAGAAGATGGGCCTATACTGTAGACATTCTGAGAAGAAAAAAACCCAGCGAAGAACCATCTAACGGGCATAAACAAAAATGAAAATAAAGGGATTAAGAAGACGAGGACGCCCCACACAAAAAATCCCAAGACGAACGCTGATGAGAGATGCAAAGTTGGTGGACTGGATTCCATTCATGATACTGAAATGATAGGAATGGATAAAACTGAATGGAGGAATAGACTGTGATCCCTATGTAACATACAATGGCACACAAGGATAATAAATATTGAATTAATTCAATAAACTACATAAAAATACATTTCCCATTTTAGTGCACTAATTATGTGATGTGTTTTAAATAAACACTATATATATATATATATATATATATATATATATATATATATATATATATATATATATATATATATATATATATATATATATATATATATATATATATATATATACATATACACACACACATATACACACACACCTTTTTTAATGTCTACCTTTCAGTCATATACACGTTATCAATTTTCTGTTGTCTTGTCTCCACAACTCGACTGTGTTCCACAGCTCGATTGTGTTGAACCCCTCCCCTCCCCTTCTCCTCACACGGTTATTAACTCAAACGCCAACAGGAATTAATGGGAAAGTTAATGTTATCCACTACAATATGCTAGCACCACAACGTACTATCATCCACACACAAAAGCGAATAGGGAAAATTTGAGCTCGATGGGTTATCAGGAAATCTTTTCAAACTCGAAGGCAAAGTTCTGCCCAGACAAACAAGCAGACAGCCATCACACTAGATAGAAAATGCTACAGCAGCGAGAGCAACTAGACAGACAACATACCAAGAGCTAAAGCACTGAGGACAAAAAACCAGACAGGCAACCAATCTTCCAGGCATAGATACATTCTACTGTAGATCAGTGAGGACAAACAACTAGACAGACAGGCAACCTTCCAGGCATAAATACATTTAGGAATCGTGGGCCGAAACGCGTGTCGACGAGGATAATTTCTACTGATGACTGGTAGATCCCTGCTGTATTTGCTCCCTGTGAGTTTATTCCTACTGTAGATCAGTGAGGACAAACAACTAGACAGGCAAGCAACAAGACAAGACAACCAGACAGAAACACAAGGGGGAAAAACGGGACAGACAGACAACTTACCAGAAACGACTGTGGACAGGATCCAAGCCAAGAGGAAGACCTTGGTTACGTGGACATGTTGTATCGTACTCCGTATCCAGCCAGCTCTAGCTATTGCCATCATGCGCTACGCGATATCCAGTTGCTTGTCGAAGCTAGACATCGTCCGTCAGCACACGTTCTATCTGTAAGCACACAGCAATAATAATAATAATAATAATAATAATAATAATAATAATAATAATAATAACTAATCAACAAATGTGAAAACGCGTAATTACTTTTATTCCTACCTGGCTCTGGTGACCTTGGCGGTATTATTCCCACTTGATTCTGTTGGCATGAATGTACTTATTTTCCATTTGTTTCTGGGAGCATGCAAGTTCTTATTTCCACATTTTTCTGGTAGCATGCAAGTTCTTATGTCCACTTGTTACTGGCAGCATGAAAGTTCTTATTTCCACTTGTTTCTGGCAGCATGCAAGTTCTTATTTCCACTTGTTACTGGCAGCATGCAAGTTCTTATTTCCACTTGTTACTGGCAGCATGCAAGTTCTTATTTCCACGTGTTTCTGGGAGCATGCAAGTTCTTATGTCCACTTGTTTCTGGTAGCATGCAAGTTCTTATTTCAGTTCTTATTTCCACATTTTTCTGGTAGCATGCAAGTTCTTATTTCCACGTGTTTCTGGGAGCATGCAAGTTCTTATGTCCACTTGTTTCTGGCAGCATGCAAGTTCTTATTTCCACTTGTTTCTGGGAGCATGCAAGTTCTTATTTCCACTTGTTACTGGCAGCATGCAAGTTCTTATTTCCACTTGTTACTGGCAGCATGCAAGTTCTTATTTCCACTTGTTTCTGGGGGCATGCAAGTTCTTATTTCCACTTGTTTCTGGGGGCAAGAATGTTCTTATTCCTACGTGGTTCGGCTTGCACGGGTGTTCGTATTACCACTTTTTTTCTGAGGGCATACATGTTCTTATCCTCACTTAGTTCTGGAGACAATTAAATTCTTTTTCCCATCGAATTCTGCAAGCTCCTCATAAAATTTTTGGTAAACAGCCTTTAAAACCACTAAAATTAATGTTACAACTGCAGACAGAAGAAATAATGACTCTGAAAATACAAACGATGAAAGGAAGGAAATTAAACCCATTAGTCTCTTCAACAAAAACACTTGCAAGGTTTCCTCCCTGCATTTAGTCTCACACACTTGGCTAGAACAAATATGCAAGCTCTTTCTTCTCTCAGACGAGAGAAGACAGAAGTCTGTCGTCTGTCTGATGAAAGCCTGCTTTGCCAGTGATATATAATCCGACCTGACAGCTAGGGGTTATGAGTTAGGAAGCCCTTGAGCCTCCCGCTCGTCCAGGTTCATCATCGTCTTTTTCTTTTCCATTATGATCATGATAATAACCAACATCTTCTTCTTCTTCTTCTTCTTTTTCTTCATCGTCTTATTATTATTATATTCTCTGGTTACTGAATTCTCTCTTCCACCTTCCTCCTCTCCCCTCTTTTCGCTCCCTCTTTCTCAACAAGTATTTTGTTCACGTTCTGTTTATTAACATGTTCGCGACATCTAGATAATCACAAATCCATTACCCAAGCCACCCGCAAGACAAATACACAAAAATCATGACACTGAGCTACATCCTGGTATCAGTGAGATACATAAGAAGAAGAAAGAGTATAATATCAACTTCTTCTTTTTCTTCGGGGGAAAAAAAACAACAACTAACTTATCAACTTCTTCATTTTGACGATTGTATCCTATCCATTATTACCACAGCTTTTTCTTTATTTATGGTTGCTTTATCTTCACTCTATCTTTACTTCATTTTAGTATCTTCTTCCTTATTACCATACTACTGTCTTCTTCCACCCCCCGTCTCGTCTTCCTACCCAACAGACACACACATATTATCGGTCGAAACAACACAAAGCGCTCTGTTATCAAATCGTCTCAGACTGGAAGCAACCCGGGTATTTCAGAATGATGATGCCTTTACGCAGTGCTTAAGCCCCAGAGGGAAAATGGTGCCACAGTTCGGCCTGTTCCTCTGTAGCCAGAAAAAAACCACAGTCAATAAACACAACACGCAGGTAAATGAAGCAAGAGGCGGCCAGACACAAACACATCATGTATACAAGTCTTCGCCCGCATGGTATAGCTGAGCATCAGAGAGTGTTGTAATCGACTGTCGGTCGTCGTTGTTGTTGCTTGTTGGTCTAAAAAGACCGGAAAACATGCAGTATAAGTCAGATTTACAGAACCAGTTAGACGAGACAAATAAATGACGCTGTGGTGATTAGCTTTATCGGCAGAATAAAAACAAGAGAAAATAATGAAAGCGACTGATTAGGAGTTTGTTAAAATCGGATTTGTTGGACCGAAAGGTTAGGAAAACACGGTCTAGCTGTAAATCACAACATACCGTGCCAACCACCCGTTTAAGAAAGAAGAAGAAGAAGAAGAAGAAGAAGAAGAAGAAGAAGAAGAAGAAGAAGAAGAAGAAGAAGAAGAAGAAGAAGAAGAAGAAGAAGAAGAAGAAGAAGAAGAAGAAAAAGAAGAAGAGCAGGAGGAGGAGGAAGAAGTAGAAGAAACACATTAAAAAGGCAAAAGGAGGAGGAGGAGGGAAGTTAGGAAAAGTCTTCCTCCTCTCGACAGCATAAAGCACGGGTAGCAGTGTAAAGACCATGTGTTGCCCATGCAGAATGATCCCTCGCTCGCCTGACTTGTTTATTCCAAAGAAAATGTAACACCAATAAGTCTAGAATAAGGCATGCTGCAGAAGCTGCCGCACATATAGACACACACACGCGCGCAGTGTTTATTTTAATTTCATTTTTATGCAGTCTAGTTTATAAAGAAATTGTATAGAAGAGTTGTCCTCTGAGTTGAACTGATATCAACGCATAGTCAGGCAAAACCTGGTGGTCAATGACCCACTGATGTGTGGGCTTCTCCCGGTGCCATCGATCACTAGCCAGTCAATGAACCAGCCTGAAATAAATGACCGGAGACAGCTGGCCAATTAGCAGTGGAAACTGTGGTACAATCAACATTCTTTGCTGGACACCGGGGGAGACGCTGACACATAGAGGGGCATTTCCTTTGGGTTCACGACCTACATACATGTGAACCGAGTCCCACTGAAGGCTTCCGTTTTCATAATCTGCCTTTTCTGTCTATTTTTACCATTTTCGGGGACGTGAAGGTCAATGCAGGTCGGCAGCGTTATGATTTAAGGCCGCGTGGTTACTGCTGTCAGCACCAACTATGCAGGTTAGGATTTTTAATTTCGCCCCTGACAGAAGGATCCAACCTGGGTCTTCAGCATTAGAGCCCAAAAGCTCTAACCATCTGACCAGCCGCTCGTTGTGTTTTCATCACAATTTCTCTAATCATAATACAGTCAAAGGATGTGAGAAATAGAGTTGTTGAGAGCAATATTGGAAGAGAATAACTGATGATCAAAAGATAAGTTGGCAAGTATGTGGAAGCTGGCAGTCGCGGTAATGTAACGGCTAGACGCTCGCCTGTCGGCTGAAAGGCAAGGAAGAGGAAAGCCACAAATAAACATGTTAGACGACGTGGCTTTCCAGAATGGAAAAACATCGGTGTTAAAAAAAAATTATCAGTACTTGAGACAGAAGGTTGTGAAGACAGATACGATGACTAACGCTACAGACATGAATTAAAAGAAGAGCTGACCTAGAGGAAGTGGAGGGAGACAAGGAAGAAGAAGGACTCATTATACAGTCTACCTCGCGGCCTCGTCAACCACGAGGGATTACCTCTGCAGCTTTGCTGTTCCTTTAGCCAACCACAGATACTAATAAACAAGCCAACAAGTCTGGACCTTGAATCCCGAAGATTACCATCAACTTCTCGCCACTGAAACCCAGGTACTGCCAACATCAGACAGCGGGGTGATTTCTGACAAGCCAATCGGGCCATTTGGTTAATCTTCGAACACCTTGCGGGCCGCGCCGCAAGTCCATCTGTAAAGTCCAAAGATAAAATCCCCTGAAAGGGTGATATCCCGGGATTAAGGACGGCCACTGTCACATATCCTGACAAACTGTACGCGGGCATTTGCCTAATGAACACGTTGTGGTTAATCTGGGCGACATTTTTTGGACAAGACCTGGGAGGTTGATGGATAGTGGATATTGTATGGAGAAACTCTAAACAACGGACATGGATAACGCAATGTTTAATTTACTAAGACAGACGATTTGCAGGAAAAACACAGTAGTATGCAAAGAGGCTAAAATTAATACCATGACATTTCATAGAAAGTATAGGTGGCCAGTGTGGTGCTGTCAAGTGCACAGCATGTTTGATTCTCCAATAGCGTTAACAGGTTCCATTAGCTTACTTACAAAAGAGAGGCATGGAACAATCGGTGACAGACCTGCTGCCTAGTTGTCCAATGCTGTCACCTTTAATACCGCGGCTGTGTTGTCGTTTACAGCGTCTTCAGTGGCCCAACCCATTCGATTCAAACAATCTTCAACTACCTATCGCCCTTGACGACATGCCTGTTAAAGGTCAAAGGGCAGTGGGTCTATACCCCTCCCACCTCGCATAAACAAGGGTCCCCCGTAAGCCACACGGTCAGCTCTTGAGCCTAAACCGAAGAATAAACGTATTTTAAGGAAGGAAGCTTGGCAAAAACAAAGAGATATAGATAAAAATAAGCACACGTTTCGACCAAAGTCTTTATTAAAGGGGGAAAAAACAAGAACGCTTAGCTCCAAAATAAATGAGCAAGTACTTAAGGAGACGGAATCTGCAAACTGATTATAGAAGCTAGACAGACACGATGTTAATGTCGTCTTCTTCTTCTCCATGTTCACTGGCTGTAAAGTCCGGGGGAAAGTTCTGCTTGTTCGTCCACCTCTAGACCTTAGTCTTGTTCTAGAACCTGAAGACTGACTGCACATCAGTTTTACACATTTGACTTTTGTGTATGCAGACTCTTGGTTCCTCGTCTCTCAGGCAGAGGCACTCTGACTTCAAAGGAAGCTCCCAACTCGTACACTCTTAAGACATGGTTGTGGGGAAAGCAGCGGATCTATTCTTGTTTCCCCCCACACAGGGGCCCCAGAACCCA